GGGAGGGAGGGAGGCAGGGAGGGAGGGAGGGAGGGAGAGAGGGAGGGAGAGAGGGAGAGTTTCCCTTGATATCGAGCTCGCCATGAACTCCGGAAGCGCTCACCAAACAGGCTCTTCGTGGGCCGAGCAGCACCGCCTCCGCTTTCCCACGCTTAATAAGTCATTCAAGACGCAGCCTGTGTAGTGGGGGACGCCTCCTGCTTATTAATCGCCCATACGCCCTCCGATCAACTTCCTCCAACAAACAAACCGTCGTCCTCCTCCTCCTCACCATACCGCCCCCTCTCCCCCTGCTCCACCATTGTCACCATCAACCAGCACCACCACCATTTTCCTGACGCCGCCCCTGCCATGAGGCGCGGCGATCAGGTGGGGCGGGACCTGCTCAATGTTGCATCAGGCTCCCACAGTCCTGGGAAGCCTCTTGATAACTGACTTTCTCAGCCTTCTCACTTTTTAAGGCGCTGCGTGAGAAATGCTCCGAGACTCAAACATCAAACGCTCTTCACCCTTTCGCCCGCCCGCTCCCCCGCCCCAGCTTCTCCCTCCTTTTCCGCCACCCCCTGCGCCTCCTACCCCCCCTCCCCATTCTCCCCAGGAAAATCATAGCCCAACCCCTCCACTTTCTCCTACGTCTGAGCCCCTCCCTCAGCCCCTCACCCCTTCACCGATCACCCCTCTCCGCGCCATTCCTCAGCCCCCTCCTCCCCGCCAAAGCTCCTTCACAGCCAAAATCTCCTCTTCAGCCATTATAGCAGGAATAGCAATGCCGACGATAGTGACAAGAAATAATAATGGATCGCCAGGAAAAATAATTTCAAGAAAAACGCATCAAGCACATGGGCGAGAGTCCGTCGGTGGCCCTCCAGCGGGACAGTTTGCGGCAACGAATTCTGGAAAAGGATCACTTTATCATATATCTTCCTTTACATTCTGTATTTTTCTTCACTTTCTCTCTGTGGCTCTTTCTACGCGTGAATTTTACGCCTTTCGTTTGTTTTCTCTTGGTTTCTACACGTGTATAGGCCCGGCACATTCGGCCGTTAGCAGCCTCTGATCTTTTCTCTCGCATCAGCACTCTACCCCCCCCCCCTTCCCCGCCCCAACCCCCATCAGCGTCCAGCAAATTAAAAGGCCGATAAAAAGCCGATGTTCTCACTCGGAATCCTCGGCAGCATCGCCGGAGGGTCGGCGCTCGGAAGACCTTATCTCAGGCTTCGACTTCTGTCGGTCTCTCTTTCTTCCCCTCTTTGTGTCTGTCTGTCTGTCTTTCTTTCTCCCCCCCCTCTCTTTCTCTCTCTCTCTCTCTCTCCTCTCTCTCTCTCTCTCTCTCTCTCTCTCTCTCTCTCTCTCTCTCTCTCTCTCTCTCTCTCTCCCTCCCCTCTCTCTCCCCCCTCTCCCTTCCCCCCGTCTCCTTCCCCCCCCCTCTCCCTCTCCCACCTCCTCTCTCTTTATTCCAACCTCTCTCTCTCTCTCTCTCTCTCTCTCTCTCTCTCTCTCTCTCTCTCTCTCTCTCTCTCTCTCTCTCTCTCTCTCTCCCTCTCTCTCTCTCTCCCTCTCCCCCTCTCTCCCTCTCCCCCTCTCTCTCTCTCCCCCTCCTCTCTCTCTCTCTCCCTCTCTCCCTCTCTCCCTCTCTCTCTCTCTCCTTCTCTCTTTCTCTCTCTCTCTCTCTCTCTCTCCCTCTCTCTCTCTCTCCTTCTCTCTTTCTCTCTCTCTCTCTCCCTCTCTCTCTCTCTCTCTCCCTCTCTCTCTCTCTCTCTCTCTCTCTCTCTCTCTCTCTCTCTCTCTCTCCTCTCCCTCTCCTCTCTCTCTCTCTCCTTCTCTCTTCTCTCTCTCTCTCCTTCTCCTCTTTCTCTCTCTTCTCTCCTTCTCTCTTCTCTCTCTCTCTCTTCTCTCTCTCTCTCCCTTCTCTCTCTCTCTCTCTCCTCTCTCTGTCTCCCTCTCGCTCTCCCCCTCTCCTCCTCTCTCTCTCCCTCTTCCCCCCCTCTCTCTCTCCCTCTCCCTTCTCTCTCTCTCTCTCCCTCTTCCCCTCTCCTTCTCCCTCTCTTTCCCTCTTCCCCTCTCCTCTCTCTCTCTCCCTCTCTTCCCCTCTCCTTCTCTCTCTCTCTCCCTCTTCCCCTCTCCTCTCTCTCTCTCCCTCTTCCCCTCTCCTTCTCTCTCTCTCTCCCTCTTCCCCTCTCCTCTCTCTCTCTCTCCCTCTTCCCCTCTCCTTCTCTCTCCCCTTCCCTCTTCCCCTCTCCTTCTCTCTCTCTCTCTTCCCCTCTCTTTCTCTCTCTCCCTCCCTCTTTCCCTCTCTTTCTCTCTCTCCCTCCCTCTTTCCCTCTCTTTCTCTCTCTCCTTCCCTCTTCCCCTCTCCTTCTCTCTCTCCCCTCCCTCTTCCCCTCTCCTTCTCTCTCCCCTTTCCTCTTCCCCTCTCCTTCTCTCTCTCTCTTCCCCTCTCCTTCTCTCTCTCCCTCCCTCTTCCCCTCTCCTTCTCTCTCTCCCTCCCTCTTCCCCTCTC